ACAACCCACCCACCCCCCCCCCCCCCCCCCCCCCAATACTTAGCAGTGTTGTCTTAATCCAGCAAAAAGCAGAGTATAAAATGGGGCTTCTGTTCCATATTGTGGCCTGGAGAGGAACCCTGGGAGAGAGCAAGGTGCTGTGCAGCTCCAGAGAGAAGATGGGTGAAGTTGGCTGCAGGTCAGGTTGCTGTGGACCTTTGGTGCCTCTAACGAAAGAAAAGAGGGTGATGAGCGTGTGGGGCTGGGAGGGTGCCCGTGTGGACATGGCGGGCTCCTCTGCCAGCTGAAGCTCAGTGCTCTTTAGGTCAGCATAGAGCGTCGGTGAAAACAAAAAGGAGCTCTTTGCTACATAGCTGGGTTTTACTCAAAAATATGCTAGCAAAAAAACCTTTTTACAATGGCAGAACTGAGAACGAATCAAAAGAGAAATCCTAAGTGTCAGATAAGCTCCCTCTTCCTGTTCTCCCCTGCTGCGTGCCACCAGGGTGCTCCTCTCCCAGCGCTTCAGGGCCCGGGCTGGCTCCTGCAGAGTTTTAGGATCCTCCGGACCTTTCCCTCCTCTGTGAGAGTGGGCGCTGTGTTTGCAGGCCCTCGGTACCCCTGCTTTCTCCTCATGCCCCTCATGGCCCCTCCAGCTCCTTCATGAAGGTTGCCGCCAGCTGTGGCAGCCCCCCTGCCCAGCCCATGCTCCCCTTCCCAAGGGGAGCCAGAGAGGTGCGAGGGAAAGCCCTCACCTTCCAATTCCTGCCTGGTGATGGTGAGGTCTCGCTGCACCAGCCACGTTTCAAGAAAGACAAGGTGTAAGTTGAGGAGGAAGGTATATCAGGAGTTGGGAAAGCACAGCGCTGATGAAAAATTGGATTATGGGGTTTGTTGGGGATTCAGCTAAGCAAGGGGCAGGTGCAGCATGGATGAGAACGGTCTGCCTCCCACTTTTAGGAGATGATGGTCAGACTACAGCAAGGCCAAGCTTGTCTTATATATCAGGGAAACGAAAAGGCTAATGAAGTGCTGGGACAGAGTGTGTGGAAGAGCTGCATCTTCCAGCACTGAAGACGGCTTAAGAACAGGGTAGAGACATGCTTGAGAGCCTGTGTGGACTAGCTGGGCCTTCTTCAGCACCTTGGGACTGGTTCTTTGACTTCTGTCCATTCCAGCCTCATGATGCTTTGAACATGTTTACAAGAACTTCTCTTCATCTTTCGGACTGCCTCTGATACTGCTAAATGCATAGGTAGAATATTAAAATGTGTTCTTTAGATTTCAAGAGAATTTAAGAGAAAGAACATTTTTGACGCTTCCAGTTTATATTTGGGAAGGGAGGGGTGGATTATTAAATGGAGAATGGGGCAGACATAACTTCTATTTGAGAAGTCACATAGCTGTCAGAAAATGAATTAAGCTTTGACATCTGAAGAAACTTTGCTTTTAAACCAATGAAGAGTTTAAATGATAAAATAAATGAATTTCCAGGACTCAGGAGACTTTGCATCTTCTTGTAGGGGCCTTGATGCTCTCAGCAAGAAAGCAAAGTCTTCCACTGTTGATTTGCCTATCGAGTCAGTCAGTCTGAGCCTTCAGGACTTGATTGGCTACTTTCACCCCCCCGATGAGCATTTGGAGCACGAAGACAAACAAAACAGGCTCCGAGCACTGAAGAATCGCCAGAATCTCTTCCAGGAAGAGGTACTTCACTCAGTTTTACTCCTGATTTTCCACTAGGCTGTCTGCAAGTATTCTTTCACAGTGTCTGTAGCATTGGTGTCTAATCTGGAGTATGTCTGCAGGGTTGTTTTTTTTTGTCCTGTAAGAGTCAAACTATTTGCTACATTCATAATCTCTTTAGATCTGTTGATTTTCCTGTATATTCAAAGAAATATTTTTAAGGCCTTACTTCCTTTTCCTTTTTTAAGAAATTAGATGTTAATATGACCTTGTTCCCTGAATTCTAACCATAATTTACTTCTCTTGTGTGAATTAGTTTATTCTGTTATAGTTTAATCTCTTGATTCAAAAGGATGTTTTGGTTTGATAAGCATGCTTTAAATATTTTGTTCAATATTGTCTGTTATTTCTCTAATAGTGACTGCTGTCTATACTTAGATGCCTAAACACTTTCCAAAATAGAAAATTCCCTAAATTATGTCTGGAATGTTGTTTATTTTTTGTTTTATTTTGAGTATCCTAAATCGTAAATTTTTATTATCACAGTCAAGGAAAACTTTTCCATAGGGATTGCTTGTTTGACTCCACTTGTCTGACTCCATGTATATATAATCTTGTGTTTTGCACAGTCTGCCTTTCGTGTTTTGTTTTCTTAGATTTCTGAAAATCTTAGGTGTTTGCACCTAAACAGTATTTTTTTTGCTCTGACAATCTGAGCCTTTCCATTTTTAGGGTATGATCAACCTTGTTCTTGAATGTATTGATCGCTTGAATGTGTACAGCAGTGCAGCTCATTTTGCAGACATAGCCGGGAAAGAAGCTGGAGAAGCATGGAAATCTATTCTGAATTCTTTGTACGAATTACTAGGTAAGACATATTATGGGTTACTTGGATGTTTTTTCGCTCAAAATAATCCTCAGATGAAAAGAAACATGTACCTGTTTTAGTATAGAAGAATTTTCACGGTGTGAAAATTTAGGAAACAAATTAAACAAGATTTTTACATTTCCAGGTCCTTGCAAGTGCTTAAGAATAAGATACACTGAAAACATTCAAATAATATTACTTTTCTAATAATATTTATTATTGTATATAACATGTTTCTAACTTCAATTAAATGATTGGTTGCTTTTTCCTATCATATTGCTGATGTATCTTATATACTGCCCAAAAACGTGTGATCAAAATATACGTGAATATGTCATTCCTGTGTTAAGGAGCCATGACATTGTGGTTAGTGCTGTAGAAGTCTACAATTTTTCACACATCTGGCTGCAGAACTGCAGCATAAATCTAAGGCAAGATTACCTAGATAAGGTAACCTAGATAGATTACCTAGATAAGGTAGATTACGTAGATAAGGCAAGATAACCAAGACCCCTTTCTAAGTCAGTAATGGCCAGTGACTCCAGCATTATACTAGGATACAGTGCACCATGGAAAGGTACGCTCTTTTAGATGCAGTATATCATGAAGGTCTTGTCCCCTTGCAGTCATTGAAAATCTCATAATACCTTCTGCAAGAACCCAAGTGTTAGCTGGTGTCCTGGTCAAATTTCTATTTAAGTGGTAGCATTTAATCGCCCGATTTGTTTGCTCACCAATTTGAATTGCATCTGTTATTTATGTTCTATTATGCCTCATTGTATAGGGTTATTAATCCACTACTATAACTGCCTGCTTATTCATTCCTCCTGAGTTGTTAATTGTCTACAAAAGGAAATTTTACTGCCTAAGAGACCATTTTGTCAGTTCCTTGCTCTTCTGTCATCATGTTTTCTCAGTGTCATAAGTAAGCCTAAGTAATATTAACATTGACCTTAAGTGACTGAGGACAGTAATGTGTCCTTGCCATTAAGCAGTCCTTTGCGCAGGCTGCATACTTATGCCCATGCCGCTTTCTCTCTGTAACACACCCTCTCTAATGTGAGGGCCTGCCTGCCTTTAGACTTGCATGTGTTTTGGCAAAAGCTTGAGATAGGACAAAGTCCTCTTGCAAGATTGTATCTTACTTTCCAGTAAAACATACAGCATTTTATGTAGCATTTATACTAAATCTCACCCCTGAAAAATTTTGTGTTGAAATGTTTCTATTGAACATACAAGTAACGTTATGTTCCACACCAACTCCATTAAAAACTCCAGAACTGAACTTTGAGTTTGTAGAATTAAGCGAGTCAAGTGGTTAGGAAGTGCCCAGATGAAGGTGGTTGTGTGTATTATTAATTGGCTCCTTTGTGGGTACGCATTGTGAAACATAATCACGTACTAGTTTTTCTATAGGACCCATTCCTTATTTAGTGCTCATTTGTTATTGGTACTTAAGACACTTAGTTTTCTCTTTGCTACTCAGTGTGTGGCATGGCATTGAACCTTATTTATTGTGAGCCTTTTAATTCATGTTTGGAAAACAAAGCTGTTACCTTCAAGTTTTTTTGTGCCATTTATAATTAGTAATCTTAATAAAGTGTTCTGTTGGAAATGTCTGTAATAAGGAAAATAGAAGGTATTATGTCCCATTCACTCAGAGGAACGAATACAGAGAGAAATTTAGGTAAAAGGACTCAACCAATGCTAGTTCATAAATTAAGAGCTGTGGGATCTGACCTTTCTTCAGAATATTCAGCAGTATTTCATGTGTACAGGCATACTGAAAACTTAGATTCCTCTAAATTCAGAGGCACAGAAAATGAAATTTTAATGGCATGCCTCACTTCACATAAATGCTCCTTGCTGTGCAACAGCAAAGTGAGGCAATTGAGGCAGGAGTTCTGTATAAAGTACTGTTACAAAGCTTTTCCATAGCTGAAGTAGGTTCATCATCTTGTACTCCTGAAGAAGAAAATAATCTTAGGGGGAAGAAAAGGATGTCCAGGATATGTTGCAGAGCCCTTGATAAAACCAATGAGGTGCTTCTGTCTGGACCACTACCTTTTCTGTCAGAGGAAATAGAAGTTGGTACAGTAAATACCGTTGACACGGCCAGAAGCCCTCTCCCATGATCTCTTGGAGCAAAGAAGGAGCTAGCTGAGAAGTGGCTGCTGTCACCTAACCACAGGCCGTTAGGGCAGAAGGTGGTTCCTTTGGCTGCGATTCTGGTTGAGGAGTTGTTGAGATTTACCACCTGTATGTAGTTGAGGATTGTAGCATGATGCGTACGCAATGATTTGCTTGTAAGGGTGACCAAAAGTGGCATTTCCTAACATTAGATTGGTGGATTTTATCAACATTATAAGGTAATTTTAATGGTTTTTGTTTTGATTTCCATGGTTTTTATAGTCTTAAGCTAAACACACCCTCTATACAGAACTGGAGAGAGGTGTAACTTGCAGCATAGTGATGAGTGAGGCAGCACATGGATCGAAAGCAAGAGTGAAACTTCAAATACATCTGACTGCTCTGATTTCAGCTAAGAGTAATTTGTAACAATGGTACACTGTTGTCCTTTGTATTGTAATTCTAGATGAAGAACTGTTTCAGAGGTAGATGGGAGTTTTTGCCGGTAGACTTATGGTATTTGATGATTGAGAAATTTTAGGACCTGGCAACATGAGTTATATTGTAGGTGCTTGAGTGGAGAGTGCAGATCCTTTCACTCTTTTTTTTTTTTTGTCTTTTTTTCTCCTGTCTTATGTTTTTCAAAGTAGTATAGGCCTTTCTTATGTTTGTTTGCATGGTACAGCTCCATTCTTCACTTATTTTTGCCAGTGTCTGTTTTCCTTCAGAACTCTATGGGCTGTTATAGGAAATGAAGGAAATGTTTCTTGCTGTTTTCACTATATTTCAGCAAAACAAAGCAACCTCATATAGCTTTGGCTATCTTCATACTTGCAAGCAACCAGATTGTTTAGTCTGAATTTTATGAAGGTAGCTCAACCATTGGCAGGCAGAAAGGATAGCGAATTTTATCTGTAACAGTTAAAATTTGGAAAAGATGAATGAAACTAAGCTTTCACAGTGAAAAGTGATACTAAAACTTTAGCATGAGCTTATGATCACAGCAGTACTACTGTTATGTTTTCCCTCCCTCTGCTTCTCTCTTTACTCCTTACTCACCCTAGTGACTGTATGAATGCTTGAAAATGTGACATTATGTAATGTGGTTTTCGGGGATGTCTGCTTGTCCAACCCTGACATTAAAAGATATCTAGAAGGAACATTGATAAAAATTTTACATCTTAATCTATCTTTCAGCTCATATATGCCCCCTAAGTAAAGTGAATCTCCTTTAGTGTTGTTTCTACCCCACCTCCCCAAGGTGATTACTACCATTAGTATACATGAAATAATTTGATTTATTAAGAATCAATTAAAGAAGTTATGGCAGGAATTATAAACATTTAAAAGTATCTAGACTAGATCCAGAGAGTTAATGTCTCCATGAAATCAAATGCTGAACTTTTAGAGTGTAGATGATGGGGTATATGTAAGTCTATGGTTGGGTTATTCATAGGTGTAGGGGAGTGTTGAAGTTTTTGTAACAGTCTATTTTGTTTTATCTCTTCTTACATTAAGCACAACTCAGACTGCAGGAATTGGTGGCTTGATTGCTGAATCATTTCACTAAGTCTGAAATTCCCAGTTAACAAAGCCAGAAAATTCCTTCTGAAAGAGTCTACTTGTCCTGTACCAAGTATCATTTCCATGGACTTGTAGTGAGAAGAACAGTGCACAAGCTTTTGTTGACTTCCCAGTCTCTGCGCCCCTTCTGTCCCCTTACGTTACTTCCCTAACTGCATTATCTTCTGGCAGCTAATGCTTGAGAAGCTGGACTTTGATCTGGCTATAATGAATTTGTATGATGCTCTATTCTGAGTAATGCTGGAGCTGTACAGTAATTGCATGGATGACAAATTGATATTGCTTGCTTAGTCTTGCTTCAGGAAACAGTACTTTGTTTTTGAGTCTGCACATAAATAAAAGTAAACTGTGATGCCGGAATTCATGGCTTTCGTCACTGACATTGTCACATATTTCACTGTGACGAGAATGGAAGTATTTACAACTTTGAGTTGAGACTGGATACTATCGCATATAAATATTATATGAATCATAGAATCATAGAATGGTTTGGGTCACAACGGACATTTAAAGATCATCTAGTCCAACCACCCTCATCGTAAAAAAAATTCTTACTTATATTCAGACTAAATCTACGTCTACTAAATCTACTAATTCAGACTAAATCTACTAAAGCATCTGTTCTTCCTCTATTACAAATACATACAATCACTCTGAACTTGTATTTGATCCTTTTGTATGAGCAAAGAATGCGTAGGAATATATGTAATGATGTGACTTTAATATCTGACTGACCACGTCCTGTTTTTTGGTTTTTTTTTCTTTAAAACTGGAGGCTAGTCCTGTTCAGAATAGTGGGCAATAAAAGCAGCAATTGTTGGATATTATTTTTTTGTTTTCAGTGTTAAGTGGCTGTGTGCCTCATAACCACTGAATACTAACCTTGCACAAACTACTGCTGAGCTGCATTTATGAAACCCTCTGTCTTACTACTGTTAATGAAGTTAAATTTATTGATGTCATATTAAGCAATGTTACTTAGAGAACTTACGTTACTTAGAAGAACTGTTACTTCCTTCATTTTATGTTTGCACCTGAAGCACAATGAGATTATGTGACTTGTCTATAATCAATTTAAAAAGTCACTTACTGAAACAAGTGTTCCTTAGTTCTATCCATGTCTTTTAACAAGATGCCCCTCCTCTTATGATTCCCAAGTATTTTCAAATAATTATGGTCATGATTAATTAACTATGTGAGATTTCAGGGTGTAGATTTTTAAAATCATATAATACAGCAAAAGGAAGGGGTTTTTTTTGTTTGTTTGTTTTACTTGTTAGGGGTTGGGTTTTGGTTTTGTTTTTTGGCTATGAAGCAATTGGATTGTGATTTCTTTCCTCATGATACAGGACTTGCAGTGCAGTGACTTGTTCGCAACTAACTCCAAGATTGCTTTTCTCCTTTGCAGATACAGTTTCATATCATATTTGTCACAAGTCTGTAACTTTAACCTTTTATAAATGAAGCAGCATAAAACCACAGTTGCAATACAATATAGTGAAGTTCTGCAGCAATAAAACATTTTAGGAAGGCCATTACCTCTTAACAGGACCAACAGTCTCTGCTGCTGAAAACAACCAGAGAAGTTTCAGGCTGAAATAATTCATTGGCAGAATTGGAAAACAATCTTAAGAAAAGCGGTTTGCACTGTTCCACGCACCAAACAGAAATGTTAGTGCCTCACTCTTCTCTTGGACTAGAACAGATGCTTCTCTGAGAGCTTGTGTGTACGCACATACATGCAAACGCATGTACGTGTTCCAGGACAGGGCAGTCTTGTGGGTGCCTACAGTGTTCCGTGAGATTTCTCATCAGTTATACCCGCCAAGTCAGTGCATGCATTGTCTACTTCAGTCTTCAGCTTAAAGCATGAGAGTGAAACAGTTTCAAGCCAGTTACGTGCTGTCTACAGCCTTGTCAAAAGTATGACAAACAGTTCCTGGACATCTGTCTCGTTTTAGTTCCTATTATTCTTGAACAAAGGTATTGTAATATTAGAAATTAATTTATATTCATCACTTATGTTGTTGGCTTCACATTCGTCTCTTTCAACGTTTCCTCTCATTACAAGACTGTTTTACAGCAATTTGTTTCTACAGCAGCATCTGACTTCTGTGGTGTCAATACTTGCTACTTGATGTAGTGCATTTTGCAGGGATTATTGAGACGATTGTAAAGCCAAAATAATTCAAATACCTTAAACGCCAATTTGATACCAAGAGTAATTTTTATGCTTAAATCTAACCATCACACATGACATTTAAATTTAATTAAGAACATCAATAATTAAAGATTAAGAATCTATCTTACTGGATTCTTCCTAGAAAGACAAGACAGGGATTATTTTAATTGAAATATAATTGTGATTTCTTTTTTTTTTTTTTTCTTCTCTCTCTCTTATTCCAATAGCGGCTCTGATTCGAGGGAACCGTAAAAACTGTGCTCAATTTTCTGGATCTCTTGACTGGTTGATCAGCAGGTTAGAAAGACTGGAAGCCTCTTCTGGTATGCTTTTTAACTTCCTTATTTGACCAGTTCTTCATTCTTTAAAATTGGCGACATATTTATTCAACCTAATTATGATGAAGTTCATGAAGTATGAGACTGTAAATTATATTAATAAAGTGAGCTTTATATTTGTAACATATTTACTTTTTGATTTCGGTTGCAGTTCTACCTTAAGATCTGGCAGTCTTCCCTTTTCGGTGGTCAGTTGGTTATAATGCTCTATTTTAATTCAGACAAACAAAACATTCAGTGAAAGAGCTGTTGTACAGTTTCAGTTGTATTAAGTTGCTTTCTCCCTAGTTCTTGTACCCTCCCTTCCCTTCTCTTTGGAAGTCTGCATGTTTTTCAGGATTTGCATCAAACTTATTATTGTAATAATAAGCATATGGAAAGGATATAATTTGTCTTATCTTGAAAGACTGTAGTGGTAATGCAGGGAAGTTAATGTATTCTACCTGAGTATGTGTAATAGATGGGTATTCAGAAAATACCTGTACGTTTTCATATAACAGAGTTACCTCCATAATAAATACACATTCCCTTTTTAATTACCTCTCTCAGAAGTCTGAACTTCTCTTTGAAGTTACCAAAAAAAGAGCATGCCTGAAACACATTTATAATTTGAGAATCTGGGAATTCTGTCTCACTTTAGACACAAATTCTTTAAGCTAGCTTATGTATTTTCTTTGCCATTATCTAATATCTTATCTTCATCCTGAACCACTATGTTAACCTTCTAGTGTCAACGAGATGCAGTTAGTCTCTGTGTTGTTCAAAGTGAAAGTAAATGAAGGTATGCTGAGCTGTACTGTATGTCTCACTAAACTGATGATCCTGGCTTCTATTTCCTTAGAAGCAATCAGTTTTCCATAAACCTCCCCTACTCTGCCAACCAAATACATTGCATTTTTACAAAGTATCCAATGGATTTTTTAAAAAAAATATTGCAACTAAACCTGCCATGCTTTGGACTACTTAAATATACTTTTTGAGCAGAAAAAGAAATAAGTAGCGTTGAACACTGCGCATTAGATGAATGTAAATAATATCTTAAAAATTTCTCTTGGTGATATATGATTCCTGTTGGTATTGCCAGCTTGCTACTCTGTACTTCTTTACTGTCTTAAATGTAGTTGTTAACATGATTGTAGTCTATAACAGGACCTTAAAGGTGCTTGTCTGTATTACCACATTTGGAATGTGCTTATTTAAAAAAAAAGTTCTTCAATCCTAATTAGAATAATTATTTTGTGGAGTCTTTTTAACAATCCTGCCCCATTTTCTTTAAAATTATGTGTTTGTACATGCCACTTTTGTTTGATTTGGTAAACAGATGGTAGAAATATTTCATTGCATTAAAGAATCTTTGCTAAGTGTATCTCAAAGTTACTGAAGAAATACTAGGGCTATATTTCTGCAATTAATAGTGTTGATTTCATGGCTGATACTTGAGTCTCTTGCCTGATTTTACTGATATAAATATGAACGTTTTTTTCTTACATGAAGATATAGTTACTGTTTTTTTTTTCAACATGAAAATTTGCCAAAATGATGTCATCTAGGCATCTAAACAGTAGAAGTAATCAAAGGACCCAGAAGCTAAGAAATGAGATACAAATACAGTGATTTGTTCTGGACTCTTTTTTGACCCTTTTCAAGCATGGTTTTCATGATGATGATTACATAAAGATCAGAAAGCAAAATAATACTGTTGGTAAGAAATGTCACTGCACCCTGTTCCTTCACGAACAAAACCCCATGAATAGTGTAAGGCCAGCGTTCTAAATTTTATTCTTACGTATTGGAGTTCTTACCTATACCTTCTTGGAGTTCTACAGGTTACCACAGTAACCAAAACCATGGATATGACATGGTGAGATCTTTTAATGTCTGATTTGCCAACTAAGTGATTCATAGGACATGAGAATAAAGAAATTATGAAATAGGTGAAATAAGAAAAATGTTAACAGCTTCAGAAAGCTTTATTTCTCACGTGCACTAGACAGAAAAGGTAAACAAGAAGTAGGAGCTCAAAGTCTTAATTAAGTTCTTATACCTGATAAGGATTTTACCTTGCAAATTATGCCTCCCTGTAATTAAAAGAGGGAAATGTAGAAATATAAATAATACAAATTGGAGAAGTTATACATGTAATGCTTAGTAATGTTAACATATGGAATAAATAACATAGCAAAAGCAATTTTGGTTTGAGACATTTCAACTTTTTATATAGGTCATTAGTATAATCTAGAAGCATATTTTTTTGTCATTATAAAAATGTTAAGTTGAAATACTAGGAGAAACCCCTAAATTATCATAAGAAATGTATTTGTAATTTTTCTTCTACTACAGAAATTGAGAAAATTCTATGATTTAAGTCAATAATGGGTAAAATAATAGTCCTGTGGGGAGAAGAATAGTTTGCAACCAAGAAGCTAAAGACAGTTTTGTAATTCTTGTGTTGCCACAGGCAATTTCAATTTTAAAAGTTTGTTTCTTTTTTTTAAATGAATGTTAATGTTAATATATTTCAAATTTCAATTTTAAAAGTTTGTTTCTTTTTTTTAGTTAATGTTAATATATCTCAAATTTTTTTTTTATACTTTTTCTTTGTAATTTGACTATAAGTACATTGCAGTATAAATATTTGTGATGCTCAAAATTGTAGTTCAACAAATCTAATAGAAAATCTTGTATTAAATGTAGTAATAGTTTTACTGTAATGCCAGATAGAGATTTGTCTCTTTTTTTACTGCCTGGTTCTAGCTACTGTAACTGACATTTGTTGTCTGATACTATTTAATCTTCTGTTTCTGGTTCATGTTTATATTTTCACAGTAAGTGTAGGTATTGGTGTGGATTTCAAGAGCTGTTTATTAATAGCACATGGAAGGTATTTTGAATCCACTGTAGGAAGAGCAACAGATTTGAACAGTATTCAGTGGGTAGTGATTGCTGTGTTTTAAATTTTTATTGTCTGTTTTTTCATCTCTCTGTAGTTCATGTGTGCTTTGCTTTGTCATTACTATTAATACTTATGATTTCCCCTCCCTCCCCTCTTCTGTTCTCTGCTCTCACCCAGCTGGAGCCATTTCAGAGTGCAGATGAAGAAAAGTTTTCCAGTTGCAGTTGTGACTGTTTTGCATTATGTATACTTGTTACTGTTTTGTTGGAAGATGACCTCTTGAGAGTCTTTCAAGCCTTATTTTCTTTAATTATGCTACACTAAGTTCAAAATGCAGGAAGGTTTGTAGTCAGACCAGTGGGCAGGGTAGTTACAACAGCAGTGAGAACAATGTGATACACCTTTCTGGTTACATATTTGCAGTTTATTCCTGTTACTTGTTAGTTTAGTGGTGTATGTTGTTTCATGAACTGGAAGGAACATAAAAATATTCCTTTCAATAGTAATTTTTTGTTGTTTACAGACATGTCCTCAAGAATTAAAATTTCTTTTCCCATCCTGTTCTTCTTACTCCTGATGCGTACTTCTGCCTCAGATAGATGTGTCCTTGGATTCGCTGGCATTTTTAAGGGAGGAATGCCAGGAAGGGAAGATGTTCCCCCATTGTAAAAGTTCTTTAGCTTATATTAGACTGGTAGACATTTTTTTTCTTTTGTCAACTCTTGGAGCAAGCACAGAGTTCAGAAGTCAGTTACTCTTCTCTTGGGCTGAAGGCTGGTATAGAGACTTGGAGGCATTTCACGTTTTTGCTGCAGAACTATAGCTTTAGGGTGGGGGACCTGTTTTACTACACTATGTCTTCCTACTCCTGGCATACACCTAATCTGTTTCAGTGGTGGTATGTTTATGCTCTAAATCCTTGAGCTGCTCAAGATATAAGGCAGCATGAGCATATGGGGTTAAATATCTCTACTGTAGTTCTCAGCAGGTGTTACAGGCAGCTGGCTGCTCATAGCACAGGTGCCTGGTTAGAGATTTGCTGCTTATCCTGCCAGTGTAGCTAGTCTATTTGGTTAGGATCTCTACAGCTAATACATGTCATAACTGAACATTCATGTCGGTTTATGTTATTGCTAAGGAAACCGGCTCTGCAGATGCTGTGATCTTCTTGCTTTCATGAACATTTGAGTAAGAGAGAATTTAAACTGAAACAAGTGTTTAAAAACCGGCAAAGTCACGGGCTAGGTCTTTCCTCCACTATAGTCCACCTTTGGTGTGAGAACACTCATCCAAGGAGGATGTTCTCACAGTTACGCAGTTGCATGGGATTTTGCTGCAACTTTCCTGATTTCAATGTATTTTCCCAGTTGTTCATGGTGAAATTATTTCCTAAGAGAACTAATTTTACATCTGAAACTCTCAGGGCTAGGATTTTCAGAAATAAGTCAAAGCTTTGCACTCAACTTTGGAGGCTCAATATGAAATTTGTTACAACAGCTCTAAAAATGCTGTGTTACATGGTTTCTGATATGTCTATATTTTGAAAAATTAATCTCAAAGTAAAAATAAGTTTTGAAAATTAAAACCTAAATGTTTATGTTTGTTCTAGTAAGAGATGAGCTGAATTCTGTAAACTGCAAAGTAATCTGACATTGTAGCCATACTGCATAATGAACCTCATGACATGCTGCAAAAATTCTGAAGATTCTAATATTTGCAATGCTTGTTTGTCCTGAGTTTTGTTCAGGAACTAGGCTGCTTGAACTCTTTCCCCATATGTTCTGGTAACATAACTTCCATGTTGCCTCCAAAAGTGATTTTATAGTGATGACTTTTTCTGGTTTTGAGGGAGTCAGTTATACAAGATGCTAATTATGCTGTGCTTTAGTTCTCTCAAGAGGCACACTAGGTTTAGCTTTTAGTATGTAAATGTGCTTTTGTGATTTTTATGTGGGATGCTTGCTTGCCAGATTTTAAGCTTTACATGGGTTGAGTGGCGTGAGGATATTCACTGTTTTATTTTACAATGGTAGATCTACAACAGGGAGAAATACTGGATCATATCACACCTTTTAAATAAGAATACCTGGCTGCATGTATTTAGCTAAAATAATTAATTCATTTTCTAAGGTAGAGTGTTTGTGAGGAAGAAACACCACACTTTCTCAATCACACCAAAATTAAGTTCACCTTCAACATTGAAGTCCCTAGCTACGTCTCCTGCAAGTGTTTTCTGGAACGTGTTGCGTTAAAGATTTGATGCCATAAACTATGATCAATAATTGAACTAAAAATGTTCTGAAAACAGAATAAAGGCATTAAGTATATAAACAGCAATTGTAAGTGGATTGTACAACTTAGATCAGAAATGGATTCAGTTCCTGATCTTCACTGAAGCAAATGAAAGAAAATGAAGATTTGTCCAAGTATAAATGTGTGTGAGTAGACCATGTTAGAAGTGAGATATTGCAGGAGCTGAGTGAGTAATTGAATGCAAATGCTTCAGCTGTCTCTTCAATGCATAAATTAAGATTAGTCTTTTACTCTGAAATATATTCCAGATGGGATTAAGTAGTCCGCCTAAAATTTTAAAGGCATTAAAACATAGGTAATAAAAAATGAAATAGGGCAAGTTAGTGATCTAATATCCTCCAAGTGAAGATTTTTGGAACCAGATAATATCAGTTTTTGAGTATTTTTTTTTTTAAGGGCATGCGTTTTATTCTAGTATTCTACAGTATGACATCAGAGGAGTCAACATGTCCTGAAAATATATGCATCTGTTAGCCATTAAGAAAGAACTTTCCCTCGTCTTCGTCAGAAACTCTGCATATCGTACTGTTTGTGATATTTGTATTAGATTTGAACACTTCCTGCTTTGCTGCCTTGAGCAACTCCAGTGAAATTGGAACAGGTCCAGTTGTCTTTAATGTAGACAATCTGAAAGTGGATCAGTCCAAACAGACATTGTGCCTTCACATGAGACTACTTCTGAAATAGAGGGAGTTTGCCTTTAGAACAAAATGCGTTTGATAATTAGTGTTCAGATGCCGCAGTAATTGAAGAAGTTGCTGTGGCACCTGGGTCTAATTGATAATCTTCATTCATTATTGAATGTTTACATCTTCGAAGTATTTTTACTTCCATTTTTGAAAAGATTAAGACTAGAAAATGAACTGTGTGTACTATTTAAGACAAAATTAAGATTATGAATCTACCTACAGAAATCTAAAAATTCCAAGGTTATAGTTACCACACTTATATTATATGGTATCATTTCATATTGGTTTACTCTTTATATTGTTGACAGCAGATCTTCCTTCAGATCCCTGGATAAAAAACATTAAATAGTATTGGGATAAAAGGTAATGGTGCTGTAGGTTGTCTGAGATTTAAAATGAGAGATCTGAATGAAGTCAGATCTCAGTGACTGCAGCCATGACTGAAGTCACTGGGAATTCCAATCCTCCTCTTTAATTCAGATTTTCTTGGGAAATAAAAAATAAAACTACCTTTCTGATTTTTACTACATTCACTTATTTTCAGAAATCTAGAAGTACAACATCAATCCTGTTTTGGTTTTATGATGTACAATGATTTTTGAAACTCTTTGGTGTTACTGAGCAATGTATTGGGAAGTATTATGTGCAGTTACGATTTTATATGCACTTTGAATAAATATATTTTCTTTTTTTTCCCCAGGAATTCTAGAGGTATTGCACTGTGTGTTGGTGGAAAGCCCAGAAGCTCTAAACATTATTAAGGAAGGACATATTAAATCAATCATCTGTCTTTTGGACAAACATGGAAGAAACCATAAGGTAGGCAAAGAGGAGACATGTATATTTAGGTGAACATTTGTGAACAAATCAAGCATGTTGTTCTGTGTAGAAGTTAGATTTCAAATACTTTAATATTGTATTTGTAATTAGGAATGAAACTTTTCCTAAAAGGCATATGAACAGTTTGAAGAAGCAAAGAGGGATATTATCTTCTTTTTGATGAAAACATTGACACACACTAAATCTCAAGGGAAGCAGGAAGAATATATCTTAATATTGTTAGGAGAATTTCAGAACTGTTGTAAAATAAAACTACTATTTTTGATGAATTACATACCCTTACATGTCTTCCAGTAACAAGGTGTATAGCATTGTATCACCTGAAGTAACTCACAGTGATTGTGAACTCTCTAGCATGAAAAAATAATTAAGATGAAAAAATCTATTATTTTTCAGGTTTTGGATGTTTTGTGTTCTCTTTGTGTTTGTCATGGAGTAGCTGTGCGGTCTAATCAACATCTAATCTGTGATAATCTCCTGCCAGGAAGAGATCTGCTCTTACAGACACGTCTTGTCAACCATGTGAGCAGGTAAAAAAAAAAACATCCCCCCCTGCCAAAACCCAAACCCAAACCCAAATGAAAAAATCTGTGTCTATGAACAAAGCAGAATAAAACTTGTTGGTAAAAGAAATAGTCACTACAGAAAATCTGTTTTACTTCCAAAACTTTTGTTAAGATATTTTATGCTTACTAGGATTTGAAATACTGTTTGCAATATTAATTAGAATCAAAACTTAGGTCAGAGAGAGCTGCTGCAAGCTAAAGCTGCTCTAAATTGCTTTAAGTCTGTGAAAATGTAGAATCTTTTCTGAAGATTCCTGTTTACATCTAGCTGTGCTTTCAAAGTATTGTCAGCTACGGTGAGGGAGTGCCCTCACCCTTCCTTCCACTGGCAGAGTGGTAGAAGCCACCTTCCAGCAGGCATTAATAACAAGATGAAGGAGTAACTCCTTAAACTATGAAAGTAATAGTTACAAGGTAAATATTTATCCAGAGTTTAGATTTATGCTAGAAGAGGCAGAAGAATCTGGCTTTAAGTGAAGATTCGTGGGATCTTCCTCTGTCTCAAACTTACGTCTGTTTCAAAAAGTCTCAATCGTTGAGTGAGAATGGAAGTTGAAACATAGTAATAATACTTATAATTCAGAGTTCATAGGATTTATTCGATGCTGAAAAGCATAAAAATTCCACAACTGTATATTATAAGGAGGCCTTTTCAAGTAAAAAAAATTTCAAGTCTAAAGGTGAAATGAACTTGACAGTTTTATAGCTAATATATTTATCATATTTTTCATAACCACATGTGGTGACTTCCCCCAACACAGCAGATAACACACCAATGTATCTAACACATGGAAAGAAGGTGTAATGTGAATCATTTCATGTCAGCAATAAATTTGAACAACTGAGGAGGTAAAATCACTAATGAAAACTTCTGTTAAGAATGCATGAGAAGAAATTTTAAATGTATGGGTACTGATTGAGCTTCTGAGCTGACTTTGGATCTTGTACAGGGAAGGTAGAGCTGTCTTTCCCAAAACTGGAAAAAGTAAATGTAGTTAATACATATTTTTGCTCTGCTAATGCAGAAAATTCATATTCTTGCATTTACAAGGAAAAAACCACTATTTTTTCATAAGTCAGAAAGACCAATGAAACATTGAAAACAGTTAGTGATAGAATGAGACTTGAATACTTCTCAGCAAAAATAATTGGCGAAGGAACTTTCTAAGATATTGCCGTTTAACATACTTTTCCAGGGGACTGGGAAATTGTATTCACAAACTCCTACTTAAAAAGAGTAATTTGGATGATTAGGTTGATTAAATTGTGGAGTCTGGATAAAGGCATAATAATGTTGATACTGTGTTCCGGCAGAAAAGAGTCAACTGGTGATCTTACCAATAACTTAGAAATGATTTGATTTTTCTGGAAGATAGCTTTTGTCAAACAGGTTTTGTTTATATTTTTAAGGAGGTTAAATGTTTGACTTGTAACGAAGTCGAGAGTATCTGTGCTTAAACTTTTGGCAAAAGACACCCCATATACTTGTAGGAGGTAGGCGTGTTAGTCTTATGTGATAAACCAAGTAATTTTATAAGGAACTGAATCAGTAAAGTCTGCTTTTACACTGACTTGTATTTGTCAGCCCATATCAACTGTTATTCCTCCCCCTGCATTCGATACACCAGAAAGCAAACTGTGTGTGGGACTGGCTTAGAGCTACATTTGTGTTGATTAGGTGGGTTGTATGTAGAACGAAAATATTTATAGAAGTTATAACCCAATCCAGTGGAGGGATGTGAAAACTAGATACATTCAGCCTAGAATTCTGAAAGATATCTAGCAATATGGGTAACCAATCATTGAGGAAATATACCTAACATGTTTATTTTGGATACTTAGTACTGTATGGCTTTAATTCAAGATTGGATGGCTTTCTTAATACAAAGCTGACACAGTAATGATTGTCTGGAGACAGATTTTTTTTTTTTTTTAAGGTAAGATTCTAGATTCAGTATTATCCCAAAAATCAGATTAGAAAATAATTTTCTTTCCTTGTTTGCCCCCTCATAACCTTTAGATGTATGATGAGGCTCCAAGCAACTTGATCTAGTTGAAGATGTCCCTGCTCATTGCAAGGGGGTTGGACTAGATGACCTTTAAAGGTCCCTTCCAACCCAAACTGTTCTATGATTCTATGAGCCTATAATTCTACATATTGCTGTTTAACTTGATACCGAATAAGCACAGTAGTGGTTCTGCCTTTCAAGCATGCTTGTGAAGTACTTTAAAATCATGAGCAGTAGGAAAATCAAATTGATATTAAGGATTGGTACAACCCCTGCAAATTACTGAGTTGTACAAAACTTGGAATAAGGAAGGAAGAGGTATAAGAGAGTTTTGAAATAGATTGACGATCTACTTCTGTACCTTTGTAAATGTTATTCTCTTGAATGGATAATCAGTGTTATAGAATGCAGTTTGCTATGTAAAATTAAACCTGGAGTGTGTACTTCCTACACTTCTAAAGGTAATTGGTGAATAGCTGTGATTTTTGTTTGTAGGATTTAACATCTATGAAATGTTCAAACACATATGGTATTATTATTGGTATCTGAGTGAAGATACTGTTTCAGTTACTGAAACAAACACTTTTTTACTTTAACTGTATACAGCATTTTTCACAAGAATAAATAAATAATTTACTTCTATTGTTTTAATCATAGAAAACAAGCATGAAATTTTTCTTTATGAAAAGTCTGCAGGCGTTCATCATGTTCTTGAGATAAGTTTTTAATAGCCACTTTTATTCTTTTTGTTTAAGCATGCGACCCAACATCTTCTTGGGGATTAGTGAAGGCTCTGCCCAATACAGAAAATGGTACTATGAACTTATGGTTGACCATCTAGAGCCTTTTGTGACTGCAGAATCAACTCATCTACGAGTGGGCTGGGCTTCAACAGAGGGCTACTCACCATATCCAGGGGGAGGAGCAGAATGGGGAGGAAATGGTGTTGGTGATGACTTATATTCCTATGGCTTTGATGGTCTTCATCTGTGGTCAGGTATTCTCCTTTTTATTTTTATTTTTTTTAAACTAGAGCGTTGTTTGCAATTCCAGTGTATTTGTTTTCAACAGCAGCAAAGTGAATCCTGTTTCAGCTGACACTTGGAATATACAGAAACAGACCCTTTACCAGAATATGTTTTAAGTTGACATTCATGTTGAAAAAATTGTTTTATACAAAGTAATGCAGATAGAATAATAACTTACGTTTCAGCCTGGGAATTATTTTTTGTTTCTTTTTTCCATCATAACTATGAAGATTTTATTTAAAACTTCAAAGGTGCAAAAAATGAAGTCTGGCAAACAGTCATCTGGATTTGTAATTCCTGTGTGATTAGTGTAAGAACAGCCTGAGAGATTTAATTCACAGGAATGTCTCTTGTTTTTTTTTAAACAGATTTTTAATATGCTTAGAAATACTTTTAAGAAATGTTTTTTTTAAGTTTAGAAATACTTTTAGAGGTGCAGAAGATTTTTAAGTATGCTCTTTTCCATACATTTTAAAACTAAATATTTTTCTGTAGTGATGTTTTATTTACATACATCGAGACTATTTATTGCAAAACTTGCAGAATCATATTCCTAGCTTGCATATGGTGTGTTTGGTCAGGTATTCATCTTTAAAAAGTTAGTGGCCCAGCTTGCATCTATTAGTTAATAGTAATTTCTGTATGCAAATTGTAGTGTTAAAGGAAGCTGAACTGAATATCTAAAGTACTATATAATATTCTGCAAATACCTCATTCTCTCTTCAAACGGGCTTAGCTCAGCAAAATCAGAATAATAAAAAAGCAAGATTGTTCTCTTCTTCTTTATCTTTTTCAAATAATTTAACTGTTGTGAAAAGATTCCCAGATAACATTTGGAACGGGTAGTTCTACACATGGACAGTCCTAAACTTCTTGAAAAAAGCTTCTACTGGGGTTTGACCTTGTTGAGGAAAAATTTTTTTCCTTTGAGATATTATTGAGCAATGGTGAACTGTAGAACTTACTGGAAACTGGGTTAGGCTCATTAGATTGGCAAGTCTTGCCACTATGAAGATATGAGCAAGTTTTGTAAAGCTCCTTAGCAGATGAGAGAGACGTTTTAGTGAGTCAGCTGTATGTATCACTCAAGGTCTTTGAAGTTTCGAGGCATTGTGGCTTGGTAGTTGGAAAAGAATACAGTTTTAAATTTCCAAAGACTTTGCCAATCAAAATAGCAATAGATTGTATTATTAAGTAATAACGTATCAACTGCAGTGGTATCTTAGGAAAGTAGCTGCCACTTTGCCTCTCTTGTATAGTGAGAATTACTTTGGAACAATGGTGCATAATTAATGGTGTCAGTAAAGCTGTGTCATAACGGAATTTGTCAGATAAAGTGTTATTACAGAAGAACCAGAAAATAATGAGCCATCCAAAATAACTTTCGTAGTTAGGGGCCCTTTCAGGGAGGAGACAAAAGAAAATCAAAATGATTTTTCTACCCATCAGAAACTTCTTAATCAGAAGTGTCACAAAAGAATAAAACAACAGTTGTTTGTGGTTCTCAAGTCAATAATCCAGCTGAGTCAAAAAAGTCAGACCACCTTTTGTATTTGCAATTTCTGTATATTAATCTCTGTTGTGCATGTGGCTGATAGATTTGAAAACATTTCTGTCTTCATTGACATTCTCATGTAACACAAACATCTCAACTTGGAAGGACTTTAAGTAGTTGTATGTTGAAAATCATGGCCTTACTTTTTCTTTGATTATGAGACTGAGTAGTATCATCTTTTACAAGTTTGCAAGGGTACCATGATGTGGCCCTTAATAACAGGAAGTACCTTACTTTTCCTAAATAATTTAAAGCACGATACTTGTCCTTATCTTGAATAATGAAGCATTCTTTAGTAAAGTGTGCTAGGTTTCATATTAGATAATAATGATTGTTTTTCAATTTTCACCTCTACTACTATGAGGAGTAAAACTTAGTTTTCTTGGTTTTGACTGTTTATATGGGTATCAGTAATTACTTTCACTTACATAAGATGTGATTTCATTATATTATTTATGATTAAAATAGCTTTGTAGGTATGATTGTGTGCTTCTATTCACTATATTGCAAGTTTAAAATAAAATCTTGGGTGTTACAGGTTAGATATTTGTGTGTTAATGTGTTTGTGCTCTATTGCTATATTTTCTTTCTCTTTTTTTAGGCTGCTGTGAAAACCTGTATAATTTTCAGAAGTTTTGCTAAATGTGTCTCCTTTACTTCCATAGGTTGTGTAGCACGAACAGTAAATTCTCCCAACCAACATCTGTTAAGAACTGACGATGTTATTAGCTGCTGTTTGGACCTGAGTGCCCCCAGCATCTCCTTCCGGATAAATGGTCAGCCAGTTCAAGGAATGTTTGAGAATTTCAACATAGATGGCCTCTTCTTCCCAGTTGTCAGCTTCTCTGCAGGAATAAAGTTAGCATCCTGTGTAGTGGTGTTTTTGGTGTTTTTTTGGGTTTTTTTTTGTTTTTTTTTTTTTCCCCAGTCTGGGTTGTTTTTTCAGTATATGTGCATATGCTGAATATTTCCCTGGCTGCCTTTGCTCTCATTTCCCTTTCTGACATCTGCTTCTTTGGCACAGTTCCAGTTCTTGGATAGTGAGAGCTACAAAGGAGTCCTGAAGAGATAGTGCATCTGTTGTTTTTCAGCACACCAGTGTATTCAGGTGGTTTGCAGATAGAACTTAGAAACAAATTCTTTATAATTTCTTAGCTGACACACTGCTACATATTCACTCCAGGGCAGCATTTTTTTTATATGGGAAGAAAAACATCAGTCTTTGTTTGATATTAAAAATATATTTGCCCTAACTCACTTGTTATGAGGTTGTGGCTATTATTTAAAGATGCATTTCTTGCACTTACCATAAGAAATGGTGGTGGTACGCTTTCTTTACAGCAGGACAAGTTAATACGAATTCAGTCAGTCTGTATTCTGGTTTTGCTGTACTGGTTTTCTATGAAATTTCATGTCACACTTGAGGTGCCAGACTTCTGCTTCCATTTATTGAATAGTTTGAGACTATAATATTAAAAAAAACATGTGTGATGTTCCAGTGAGGACACCAACTTTAGCAGGGCCGGCAAAGGTAAAGGCTGAAAGCTGATTCCTATTGGAGACAGAGCAATGCTCTGTGAGGGATCATTCAAAGACTGTGGTGAATACTACAAAAGCTAAGAGCTATCGCGCAGTGGGCATACCAGCCTCTCAATCCAGGTGCAAAATGCACTTCCTTAGACTTTGCCTTTGATAATACAGGAGATGCAATGTGGTAAAACTATGGACATGCATGCTATGAAATGCAAAACTTTAAACCCGCATGCTTTATCTTTGTCATGAGAGAAATATTTGACAGATACTATTCATGTGCTGAGTGTGTTTTTTGGAGAGTGTTCAAGCATAGCATTGAAAAAAATCTTGTAAGATACTCAGAAAACAGACAAAACGATTCTGTGGTAAGGCTGGTTTTTTTGTATGTGTGTTGATTCCTTCTGGATGGCAATGTTCTGGGAAGATTTTTCAGTATTATGTCATTGCTAGTTCATGATCACCTCATTCATTGAATTTTTCAGTAACAAAAAGCCATGACAAAGTCACCATTTTGTAATGAATAAAAGAATGCTTTCCCCTAGGTTTCTACTAACATGACAAGTATAAGTTTTAGGAAAGAAGATAAAGGAGTGTTTTTGTATTGTGTCCTAAGGATTTAGTGTTCTGTGAGAGACAAGAAAGAACTCTATTCCATGGAGTTTTCAGGCTTATTTCTCAAATGAGAGAGAATGAAGAACTCCTCGTTGGAGAGAGTTCAGAAGTGGTTGATTGATTACTCTGGGTTATAATTTCTGCCTTCTGAGTCTCAAAAGGCTGCAGCTTACTTCATAAGTGTGCTAAGTATAATGATTATTTTCTCTCTCTGTGTATTCTCTTTTAGTCTCATGATTTAGAATACTTTTCTGGAAGTGGAATTAAATAAAAGAAAGAATTGTTTACTTTTCCCCATGTTTTTTGTACCGCGTATTTCATAAACTCTGACACCAGTTAGAGAAAGTTGAACTGTAAACAATGCAAAAGAATTGTTTACTTTTCCCCATGTTTTTTGCACCGCGTACTTCATAAACTCTGACACCGGTTAGAGAAAGTTGAACTGTAAACAATGCG